AATTTATATATATTATTGATTTCAGAGAGGAAGGGGAGGGTTGAGAGTGATAGAAACATCAATGACAAGGGAGAATCATTGCATTGGTCGGCTGCCTCCTGCACACCCCCAACTGGAGGTTGAGCCCGGGACCCAGGTATGTGCCCTTGACTGGAATCGAACCCACGACCCCTCAGTACGCAGGCCGATGCTCTATCCACAAAGCAAACTAGCTAGGGCTATAACAGGATTTCAGGATGAAGTCATTTCATGACTTAGTCAGAAAATGGCTACCCATGGTAATGTATTTTTCTGGATACCTCCTGCTGCTGTATTCAACACTTGGCCCTATAAGTCTCTTAGCCAAATGCAGAGCATTCTGCATGTCTATCGCTTGGTGGATTCTTTTAGAACTGAGAATGGACAACTGACCATTCCTCAAATCCCTAGGTGGGGTTTTATCTTCTTAGAGTTTGGGTTCTTTTGAAGAAAACATTTTTTTTTGTATCCTTATGGGATACACTCTATATTATCCTGAATTTAGAAATGGTTTGTGTTAAAAATATCTTTTCTGGATCTGAAAAAAAAAATTTATTTTGTGCCCAAACTCAAGTTATTTGGGGCACTGACTAGCTATTCTGCTGGGTTTCCCCTCCAACCTCATCATTTCAGCCCCCTTGTGAGGGATGAGAATGTAATCCATAAATTAATAAAACGTCCAGCAAACTTATTTGTCTAGAATTTCTCTGAATAAAGAAATTAGAAGGACATGAACGCCCGTGACCCAAGTGAACGCATTGGGTATGAGCTGACATCGAGCTTACAGAGTAACTGGACAATTCTCTACAACTGTATTCCTCCATTAAGTTTTCTGTCTCTCTTTTACAGCAAACATTTCTAAGACAATATCTGAAATCCACACTCAAACACATCATTAGCCAACACTTCACCATTAGAGACCAGTGGACAAGTTATAGATTTGCAGTGTGCTTTTGGGGGAAAAAAGCTATTTAGCTTGAGCATTGTACTGTCATTGGGGTGACTAGCAAAAGAGAAAAGTTGTACGCAGTTCAACAGAAAAAAATAGGGTTGAGTCTCATTTCTGAAAAAAAGGCAGAAAAACTTTAATAAAGGATCATTTCTCATCACAGGAAAGAATTCTGAGCAGGGAAAGTATAAACAAAAGGTATTTTTGAAATGGCAGAGAAAGATTTTATCTAGAACTCTCCAATCCAGATATGCTGACCGACCAGAAATGCTCAGATAATTTCAAAGCCAAACACCAAATACAGAAATAAAATAGGGGCTTCTTCATATGTTGAGATAGTGGTCTCAAGCCTCTAAATTCTCATATATAATTTACTGTAACTGTCAAAAGAGAAAGAAGAAAACCCAGCAATGCTAGGACAAAGGTAGGGTTGCTCAACAGAGAGTTGTTATAAACAAGCAAAAACAAAATAATATAAAAGATCCACCCAAATACACCGCAAAACAGATGCAATTTTGCGTTCTCATTGAGCTCTCTGAATGCGGGAAGAGTTGTGTTCACCCTGATATCCCTGGCTTTGGGCATTGTATGTAGCTCTGGGTTAATGTGTGTGTATGTGTGCATGTGTACACATGTATGCATGCACCCACGTTCACATGCATACGCACACACAATATGCATTGACCAAAATTCTTTGGTCATGTGAGGTTAGTCCCTAAGGCAACCACATAGGATGCATACGTAATTGCATTTTATACTGACGTGCTTGTCAACTGATATAGCCAGTAAGAGAAATATACCTTATAGGACTGGAGGTGATATCAGGGTCACGCGCGGTCACTTGCCCAATCACGGAGTTCAGAGCGGCGTTTTCATGAACTTCGAGGAGATAAGTGGGTGAAGAGAAGACAGGAGGCTCATCAGCATCCTCCACGACAATTTTGACCGTGGCCGTGTCTTTAAAGGGCCCCCTGCCGCTGAAACGTGGGTCGACGTGGACATTGGCCGCCTCCACCTTCAGCGTATAGGATTTCTTGGTCTCAAAGTCCAGAGGCTGTTAAGAAATGACAAAGACAAATGTTGCTCACTAATGACCACAGCAGCAAGAACAAATGAGTGTAATGCTGATGGATGAGCGTTATGTGCATGGAAGCCCATTTGTGAGCCTTAATGGGATCCCTCTCCATTCCCCCAGATCCAACCTGTAAATCCTACAGGCATTTATGGATATCTGCGTATTATACAAGCTCGGTGAATCTAACCTCCTATTGTTGTGTTTTTGTTTTGCTCATTTCACTTGGAAATTCACAAAATATTCGCAGTCATGAATTGTGCCATCAAAATTTCACTTCAGAGTCATAATAAAATTTTACTAGTGATACCATGACCTGCATACCAATCAGCTAGTTAATTGAGCCTCTGCTGGGAGGAGATAAGGCAGCATCAAACACCATCTCGATCTGGGAAGAATATTTTAGCATTTCTGCAACAGTGTGTGAAATGTGAAGAACGAGAAATAATCATTGTTTAGGGCAAGGAGACATTATAAAGCATAATTTAGCACTGATCTCCACAAAGAGTGTTTTCTTATTTCACTTGCAAAGCAATGCTGCTTGACTGATCATGTGGCTAAAAATGAGGTTTATCATTTATTTTTTATTTTTTAAATATATTTTTATGGATTTCAGAGAGGAAGGGAGAGGGAGAGAGAGATAGAAACATCAATGATGAGAGAGAATCATTGATCAGCTGCCTTCTGCATGCCCCACAATGGGGATCAAGCCAGCAATCCAGGCATGTGCCTGACCAGGAATCGAACCATGACCTCCTAGTTCATAGGTCAACACTCAACCACTGAGCCATGCAGGACTGCAAGGTTTATTTCTTTTTTTTGGGGGGGGTATTCTTAGAAGGTCTCTATGATGAGTTCTGTGCTATGAAGCAGGTGGGCATGTAAAGAAATACATATGCAGACACATATGTACTTGTGTTTATATTTAAAAGAAGGAAAGATGAGAGCGGTAGCTATAGCTCTCTAGGTCTCACCAACCACTAAAAGCAAATTGAAATGACCTCATTGCACCATTACTGACAATATTTTTGACATATTAATAACTCATTCCTTAAAATCCCCAGAGACTGTGGTTAATGACCTAGGTAAATATAGCTGGGTGAAAGAACATAATCCCCTTAAATAACCAGAGGGCATCTGCCTCGCAACCCTACAGTCCAATTCCCGGCAACACAGAATACTTCAGACTTCAAGAAAGTATATCTGTCAAGGTTCAAAGACATACTTTAGGTTTCTTTGCAATTTCCTCTAAGAAACAGAACTTTAAATCTGCAATGCAGATTTAAAAAAGAAGAGAAGAAGCTGGAACACAAGCCAGCATTCATGAACTCTTTCAGAACTCCTGTATAAGTTTATCATTTCAAATTTTTGTATTGATTTTTATAGTTGAATTCAGTTCTAATGGGACTTGACTTTTTCTGAAATATTTTCTAGGGAACAAGGCAGATGCTCACTTCCCTGTCTATTCTGAAATGACTGGGTGCATGTACCTGTGAGTAGATGATTCAACATCAGCATTTTGCCAACCATCCCTACTGTAACACGTATGCAATTTCAAGTTCTTCAGAAACACTGGTAAGTGCGACAGATTATGTTCCGTTTCATGCTTAGCTCAACATAGTGACAATGTCCCCCACAATCCTGGTGTCCTTAGGATTTTATCAGACAAAAAAGAGGTCCCATGAATCGTGGATATATGACCCCCTACACAATGCTCTCTAGAGTAAAATAGTGGGCTTTCTTGGTGTTAAAATGTGTATTATTTGCTTCTAAGTTTATGAGTAATTGTGAATAAAAAGACAGCCAATGGCTAATTGCTTCAGCTTATAAAAGCACCTTATGGCAACAACGGATAGCAGTTAGTAATAACAATAAAAATGACATTAGGAATCATTAGCCAAGGAAAATGTGGCTTTGGGTTATTCAATAATTGACTCAAGCATAATTATACTGTACTCCATTTTTAAATACTTTGCAATGCTTAATCCGGTGCTCAAGCCATGTATAAAGGTAGGGTTGCTCAACAGAGAGTTGAAATAAATGCACCATTTTTCTTAAAATTGACCTTAAAATGTATTTTGTATACAAAGGTGAATCCAGAACATGCCAGGTTCCCACTGCCACTATCTCAACGGGGGATTTTAAGAGCATGATCAGTGGATGGCAGATCCCTGTGCAACATAACATAGAATTACAGAGTACCTTTGGAGCTATTTCAGTGTAATACTGATCAGGACAGAAGGAAAAATGATGGGCTCTCAATGGTGTGGTTCACCATCTATCTTCTTATTCATGAACAAGCAAAACTATTTAAAAACTAGAGGCCTGGTGCACGAAATTCATGCATGGGTGGTGGTGGGGGGGGGGGCCCCCTCAGCCCGGCCTGCACCTTCTCGAAATCTGGGACCCCTCGGGGGATGTCCAACTGCCGGTTTAGGCCAGATCCACAAACAGACAGCCGGACACCCCTCTCTCAATCCCCTGGCTCCTAACCGCTGGCCTGCCTACCTGCCTGCCTGATCGCCCCTAACTCCTCTGCCTGCCTGATTGCCCCTAACCACTCTGCCTGCCTGCCTCATCACCCCTAACCACTCACCTGCCTGCCTCATCTCCCCTAACTATTCGCTTGCCTGCCTGATTGCCCCTAACCACTCTGCCTGCCTGGCTGATCGCCCCTAACTGCTCGCCTGCCTGCCTAATCACCCCTAACCGCCTCTGCCTCTGCCCCCACTGGAAGCTTCATCCGGAAGGCTGTCAGGAATGATGTCCGGAAGGTCGTTTGGCTGTCTGGTCTAATTAGCATATTACACTTATATTATTATAGATTAATTTGGACTACTTCATGACAGAGATATGAAGGACAACATTAAACTAAATACCCATGATGAGCCTGGCTGGTGTGGCTTAGTGGTTGAGCATTGACCTATGCACCAAGAGGTCATGGTTCGATTCCCAGTCAGGGCACATGCCCGGGTTGTGGGCTCGAACCTCAGTCTAGGGATGTGCAGGAGGCAGCCGATCAATGATTCTCTCTCATCGTTGATGTTTCTATCTCTCTCTCCCTCTCCCTTCCTCTCAGAAATCAATAAAAATATATTAAAAAGACTTCAGTGTGATTTGTGGAGACATACCAGGGAGCAAGAGGGCAGACATGGGGAGAATTAATATAGAGAAAGATTAAAAGCCATTGAACTTGGCACCTCTGTGGGCAAGTAAGGCTTCTTCCCACTGGAAATCCTCTTTGGAACCATAGATAATAGGCCTTAAAATAATTCCTTCAGAGGATAGGAGCTGTCCCCCAATCTGCATCCCTCATTGCTTGAGGGTCGCCTTTCAAGTGTTGAGTTCCCTACAAATGCCTGCAGTTTTGGAAAAGGCAGTGTGATGTAGATGGGAGAGATAAGGTGAGACTGGTGGCTAGCATCACCATGGTAACTCTTTCCCAGAGCTTTAGCTGATATGCAAAGTGGGGCCAAGAGGTATGAGGTGTAAAATTAGCTCTACTTTTTCTGCAGCTAAAGAAGAGACACCTCTATCAGCTCTAAGACTTCACCAGGAAGTCCACCCAACTCCCGCAAACCCCAAAAACTCAAGTTTCCAAGAGGTATTCTGAATGTGAACACAATCTTCCTTAGCTTACCTTTCTTAGTCTTATGATGCCATCCTGGGCCTGGGCATCAGAGGTGATTTCAAAGAGTGCTGTTCCATCCCCATCAATGATGTCATACGATGACTGCGCATTTTCACCAATATCCTGATCATTGGCCTTTACCCTGCCTATGGCAGTGCCAAGAACCACATCTTCAGGTACTGAGAAGTGATACAGACCTTAGGAAAGAGGAGAAACACTGAGCATAATGCAGATTCCATTCATTCATTCATTTAGCAAATATGTATTGGGCACCTCCTTTGTTCCGGGCACTCCTGTAAATGCTACCACTACAGTGTGGAAAAGATTTTAAAAAAGTAATTTTTGTTGTGGAATGCACAATATTTTAAATGAGTCAGAGACAGAGTTCCCAGAAGTAGTGAGCTCTTTTTGAGACTCTGCTGAGAGATGGAATTGATCCTATCACATGTGTACCAAGTGTGTAGTTGGAGCAGAGTTATAGCAGGATATTAGTGAATCTGTGTGAATGTTCTTTCCAATGGACTGTACAATCACATTGGCTGCCCGTGGGGCTCTTCGCTGTTGCCCAACATAAAACAGGAAGCTAATTTCAGCACAGGAAGATGCAATGTGCAACACACAGAAAGTCACTTTTGAAGCGGCCTCTGTATTTACAGACTCGGAGACCATTTTTGATAAAACCCAATTACTAAACTTCTGCTGTGCCCTGCAGCAAGCTGTTCTGACACATGAAACACTCCTCTTGCAACCAAAGTCCTTCCTCGTGGCTCTGAACACCAGCAATCCTACTTTCCAGACTCTCTAGGCAAAAGGCAATTACAGTGCATGTTCCTTCTCCGGTGGGGGCAGTAAAACATGGCTAATTAGCGGCATCTTAATTCCAGTCGCTTTAGCTGTTGCCTTCGTGTTAACTCCTTCTCTTTGGTGGAGGGGAAGCTTTTGGAAACATAACCCCTGGCTATTACCACTTCAGTGCATGTGTGCCCTACATTTCATGGCCGACTCCTGCGTTTATTTGCCTGAGGGTTTTCTCTGCCTTTCAGAATTCACTTTGGCCCCTGCCTGTCAGACCAGAACTGGAAAGAATTAATGCCCCACAGAAGCAGCCCTCAAACACTCACAAGAGCTCCTAGCCCAGCTTCCTCCCTTCTCTGGTAGGGTAACATTTCTCCTTTTTTTTCTCTTTTGCTTGTTTATTTAATTTACAGTGTTCCAGAGTTTCCCCAGTGGATAAGCCCCAGTCACCCACAGTGGTAGCTGGCTTGCTAATGTGTATCGTTGGCTCCCTGTCTTTCTCACACACATCCTCACTTCCCTCCTGGCATTTCTTGGCTTCATCTCCAAGATAAACTACTTATAATCCAATTCTTGTCTCAGTGCCTGTTTCTGGGGAATCCAAACCCAGACAACCAGGAAGTTTTAGTCCCACTGCAACAAAAACCAGGGGAGAATAAACACTCAATGAACTCTAAACCCAAAAGGAAAAATTACATCTAGAGAACATTACCTAATTGTGGTTTGAACGCAATCCCTGGGTCCCTGGGATAAACTCGGGCTCATTATACCCACTGTAACAGGATTAGTTCAGATGAGATGATGGGTAAGGTTTTCTTCTAGCACAAACACACTTTTATTTAATGACGACAGAAAGATGTCCCTTAGAATCATGAAATGATGGGACTGGGGAACAGAATGTTGTCCTAATAGCTTTGCCATAAGGCACGCACTAAAAATCATCCTGTTGAACATAAGTTTCCCGATTCTCTCATAATTGGTGCGATGATTCCATTTCCTTTAGACTTCTTATTCCAGGTAAGGCTTGAGATGCGCCATTCAGGAATAGTTATTAAGTAAATAAGGCAGCAAGGGACCTCACCTCGCTGCCTGTTCTGAGGCAGAGAGCCTTGGGAAACCAAGCCAATGGAACAATTCTTCAGCCATCTCTAGTCTATGCACTCCCATCATCTCCAGCAGTGTGATCATGTTTAATGGTTATTACCTCTAAGAAAGTTATTAACACTTCTGAAACTCATCTGCCACCGCTGAAGTGAAACAATCCTTTTTGCAAGAAAGAAGAGTTGCATCTGAGAGCATTAACTCTAATGGCAACTGAAACATTACGCTAAGTGAAATAAGCCAGTCAGAGAAGGATAAATACCACGTGATCGCACTCATTTGTGGAATATAATGAACATCATAAACTGATGAACAAGGACTGATTAGCGGGGGGATAGGGGGTAACATGGGGATAAGGACACATATGTAATATCTCAATCAATTAAAAATATATTTTAAAAAAAGAAAGAAAACGAAAGAAGAGGTTGGGGGAAGGATAGGAGAAATGGTGTTTCTCCATTCCAATAACGTTGTGAGAGGGGGTTGCCTTGTTGTCTGATTTATGAATGGCCAGATGTGACATTTCTCAGTGAAAATGCATCTTCAATGTTCTTTCGACCTTGGGGTTTCTGAAGATACATTCTCAAAGGTGCCTCAACTGTGTCGTTTTCAATCCCACCTCTGTCTCTCTCCTTGTCTTTCTCTCTGTCCTCTCTTTCTTCAAAAACAGGTTCTCCTATGGTATTTCCTATCCCAGCAAAATGTACCAGTATGCATCGAATAGTCTTTCGTGTCAGAAATATGATAATTCACCTCCTCAACTAAAACTGCAATCTATCCTTAGATTTTTGTTATCATAACTTCTCAAATATCTATGGCAACTCTGCACTCTTCTCCACTTCCACTGAGACCACCCTGGCTGGCCAAGGCTACCATCACTTTTGACATGAATGACTACAACCACCTGTGCACTGGCTGCATTGTGGGGAAGACACTGGTCAAAGGCCAGCTTTCCTTTTCTCTCCCTGAAATCAAATCCTATTACTCAAGCCACCACTTGGAATCTTTTCTCTCATTTATTTAAACTTAATTTTTTTAAACATATATTTTTATTGATTTCAGAGAAGGGAAAAAAGGGAGAGAGAGATAGAAACATTGATAGAGAGAATCAATGATCAGCTGCCTCCTGCACACCACCTACTGGGAATCAAGGCCATAACCTGGGCATGTGCCCGGACCAGGAATCAAACCATGATTGACTGGTTCACAGGTCACTGCTCAACCACTGAACCCCACTGGCCAGGCTCAACTTTAAATCTTTTAATGCTTCCCAGTGATGTTAGGATAAAAGTCATGGTACTTAGAATGGACTCCAAATCCAATACTTCTAATTCTTGCCTAACCTAACTCTTCAGCTTCTGTGCTTCCCCTGCTGTGAAATTCTTTCTATTCCCATCCAGGGCCCTACACCCTTCTTCTACGGGGTGTTTGGACAGCCTTTTCCTCTAGGTGCAATGCCCATCCCCCAATCTCTTGTTTTTACCTTGTCTCAGCTGGTTCCTAATCATCATTCATACCTCAATTCAAGAGTCTCCATGTCAGAAAGACCTTCCCCAATCATCTCTCTAGGTCAGGTTACTTTGAACAAATACTCAAAAGAAAAGGGGTTCAACGAGAGTATAAGAATGTTGGCAAATGATGAAGGTCTCCCTGATTCACTGAAGGTGGCTGCCTAGAAGGCCATGGAGAGGTTTCTGAGGCCGACCATGTCCTTAACAGGGAAGAGTCGAGCCAGTGATCACTGATGTTCCCGCAGCTGAGGAAAAGTATATATTTTGCAGCAAATGTATATGCCTTTTTCACCTCAGATGCTAAAGATTTGGTTTATTTTATATGACAAGTAGGACTATTGATAGAACAATATCTGAGGTGCATTTAATCACTCTATCAAAATTTCTTAATGGAAGGAACCCTGGAATAGAGAAATATGCTCACATCTTGCAGTTTCAGCTCCAGTACTTAACTACATACTTAATATTTGGAAATTAATTCAATTGATTTAAACTTTGTAAAATGAGGGTGCATTTAGTACCAAGTGACAAGAGGGTTGCTTGCTTTGTGTATATATGTGAATCGCCCTACCCTGTATATAATCCACAGTAAATGATAACAGTGGGCTCTTTGGATGTTTATAATAGAAATTTGAATTTTATAATATAATTATAATATATATTAATTATAATAAAATATAAATAATGAAAAGTATAACATAAATTCGAATGACAACATCACACTTAGATTCTCATCCAGTGCAGGAAGTTCACTTACTCTGGGCAAACTTTGGAGGATTGTCATTAACATCAGTAAGAGTCACTGTCAGTGTTGTGGTCCCGGACAGGCCCCCGGAGTGGCCACCCATGTCTTTGGCTTGGATGACGACCAGGTACTCCTCCTTGGCTTCTCGGTCCATGTTGGGAAGGGCAGTTTTTATAATTGCTAATGGAGAGAGAAATGGGAGAATGACTTTCAGGCAGACAGCTCATTCAAAAATAAATGTGTGAATCAATCTCTCTCTCTCTCTCTCTCTCTCTCTCTCTCACACACACACACACACACACACACACACACCACACATACATAAACACATACAAGTCCCCGCTCAGACAATTTTCAGTTTTCTTTTGACATTTCACTGGTGTGTGTTTGTGATGCCAACACTAAGGAAGATTAGAATCATAGACAGCAGTAGATAACTTGCAAAAATCCATTTTATCACATCTTTTTTAAAACTTGCAAAAATATACATTCCAAAGTAAACTGAATGGCATACCCTTGCCTACCAAATTAAAGTATAAATCATAACACAGCCTCATCTACCCAGGGAAACCCTGGAAGTAAAAGAATCCTACAATTTATCACAGGCTCCAATTCCCCTACAAGAGGAGTAAATACACAAATAGCTTGAAGGCTCTGAGGTCAAAGATAAATTATTCTGATGCTCACAAATACATTTGAGAAGAAAAAAGTAAATGAATTTTTGGAATCAACTCAGATGAATAAGATACCAATCATAATTAATATAGGCGAGTGTCTAAATCCCAAGGTACTATGTGTTCAACTACATTTATACTTTAATTGTTTACTTACACCTTCTCTATTGTAAAAGAAAAATACTTAAGAAAAACAGAAAGGTCATGAAAAAAGAAAACAGGGTAAAACATAAAATCATATGGAATAACCTAAAATCATGAGTGCTAAAATGTCAGTGTTTTTTCTTCTGATTTATTTTCACGGTTTTATCTATCTGCCTCTTTGTCAGTTGTACTAATAATTTAATTTTCTTGTTAAAGATTCAAAATTTGCATAGGTCCTGAACTTATTTTAAAAATCTGTATTTAGTCCTCTCTTTACCCTTATAATTCTTTTCATAGCTAAGCATTGCTAACATAGGTGTATAATTCTAAAGCCATTACCTGAAAATGCATACAAATGTGCATATGTATATAAACATTTAACCACAAATATGATCATGATATAGGCATTTATTCACATAATGGATGTCTTTGAGATATCTTCTTCTTTAAAAAAAATATATTTTATTGATTTTTTACAGAGAGGAAGGGAGAGAGATAGAGAGTTAGAAACATCGATGAGAGAGAAACATCGATCAGCTGCCTCCTGCACACCTCCCACTGGTGTGCCCACA